ATAGTCTTCACAAATGTAGACCATCTTGGATAGACGCCGTCAGCTAGGTAGTACCCCTTGTTGTAGTGTCGCCCATTGATCTCGAAGTTCACCGGAGGAGAATGACCTTCAACAAGCTTGGCAAAGACAGGGGAGCACTGCAGCACGTTGATGTCATTGTGAGTTCCTGGCATACCAAAGAAGGAGTGCCAAATCCAGAGGTCCTGTGTGGCCACCGCCTCAAGTACCACACTGCAACCGCCTTTGGCGCCTTTGTACATCCCCTGCCAAGAAAATGGGCAGTTCTTCCATTTCCAATGCATGCAGTCGATGCTTCCACCAAGCATCCCAGGAAATCCTCTTGCTGCATTCTGTGCTAGGATCCGAGCAGTGTCTTTCGCATTGGGTGTTCGCAAGTATTGCGGTCCAAACACTGCCACCACTGCCCGACAGAACTTGTAGAAACACTCAGTGGTGGTGGACTCGGCCATGTGCCCGTAGTCGTCAAATGAATCACCGAGAGCTCCATATGCAAGCATCCTCATCGCTGTTGTGCACTTCTGGATCGAGGTGAATCCAAGTGTGCCGGTACAATCCATCTTGCATTTGAAGTAGCTGTCAAACTCTCGGATGGAATTCACAATCCTGAGAAAGAGCTTTCGGCTCATCTGATAACGGCGCCGAAATGTTTTGTCGCCGTGCAGTGGAGCATCGGCGAAGTAGTCGGAGTAGAGCATGCAGTAGCCTTCGAGACGATGCCGGTTCTTTGCTTTCATCCGCCCCGGCAATGAGCCACCTCGCCGCGGCTTTTCATTGCTCGCCAGCAGCTGGGCGAGGGCGGCGAGCACCATGAGATGTTCCTCTTCCTGGACGTCGGCCTCGGCTTCCTCCTCCAGCAGCGCGGCGAGCGCTTCCTCGTCGTCCGAGTCCATCGCCAAGACAGGCAAATCGTCGAACACCTTGCGCCCGGCTTCGGCTTCCTCCGCCGCTTAACTGCCCCTCCGCGGCCGGAAACGGCGGAAAATGCCCAGCTGCTGGTGGAGGGGGCTGCCTCGGTGAACGTTTGCTCTTTTTCCGGCGGGGATTGGCTATCTAGCGGCGGCGGGCGCCGCGCGGCGCCGTGATACTGCTGTTGGCGGCCGAGCGCGCGGGGGGGAGGCGAGTCGGGGAAGAAAGACTTGACTTTTCGCCTGAAGATGTGGGCCAGCCGTGCTTTTCCCTTGCGCCGGAGCCCCCGAGCGCCCCCCAGTGCGCCGGGTTCCGCCTGCGATCGCCGGGCCCAAAAACGGGTCGAACCGGCGGATTTCGGCGTCCTAGGGGCGCGAGTGGGGCGTTTTTTCGGCGCCGGCGCCAAAAAATCACTTGAGGGGCCTGTTGGGGGCGCGGGTGAAGATGCTCTTAGTACTTGGCCACCGTTTGTCACGCAATTGGTGTGTGCCCGAAATGGAAGGGGGGAGGAGAGAGAAAGACTATTTGATACCAGAATGGTTGTGAGCATAATCCAAAAGTAATAATATTTGCAAAAGAGTTAATGCAAAATTAATCATCAAACAATAATCCACGAGCAAAATAAATCCTCGTTTCTTCTTT